TTTTTTTTTTTTTGGAATGAGTCTTACTGTGTATCCTAGGCTGACTTTGAATTCTTGATCCTCCTGCCTCAGCATCCAGAGTGTGGATTACAAGAATGCATGTGCTGCCATGCCAGGCTGAGCATTTCTGTAACTCTCATGGCTGTCTATGCCAGGTCAGTAGTGTTAGGTCATTTGACACAGGAATAAATCCAGCATAGGTTTCTACCTCTTCTGAAACTAAGAGACAAAGCCAGAAGAAGTAGGAGCTGGGCCCCGGGCACCAGTGACTCTACACTGTGGAGTCTCCAGGGTTACTGTGTCTCCCCAGTTGGTTCCCATCACTGCAGTCCCAATGGACTAGAACTCTACCAGGACTGTGTCAAACAAATGTATTTGGTAAGAATTTGGGTTAGTTTTCTGTAGTCCTACAAATAGTCTTGTTACTAATGTCTAACTTCTGCCCGACGCTGAAGAATGCAAAGAAGAAAGCCTTGTTGTGGTGCGTGCCTGAAACCCCAGTGCTTGTGACAGAGGTAGTGAGTTTTGTTGTTTTTTTTTAAAATCCCTGGAAGATAGCATTGTCTGAGCTGAATCCAGAACTAGCTGACTCTTGTTAAATTTGCTTGGTTGCCTAAAATACAGTTGTAACTTAAAGAAAAGTTAAGCATAAGTGGCTGCAGAAGTGCATATGTCTGTAGTTAACGGAGTTTTGTCTGTCTACAGAGATGACAGGGTGAGAGACTGCATCACGGACTCGAGCCTGAGATCAGAGCTCTGCCACAGGTGAGAGCATCGGACTCAGTTGGATTCAGGGTCCAAGAATGTTTTCTATGGTCTAGTAACCCAGGAGTCAGTTTGCATGGTTTCTTGGAACTTGATGTGTATATTGGCTTCACATAAGGAAAGCTATTGCATAGCTTAAATCTCAAAAGGGCTTCAAGGGTCTAGAAAACCAACTGAAAACCTTCTTTTCTTTCCTCTTTTGCTTATTTTAAACCTTGCTGACAGTGGTCCTCAGCTTTCTGTCACTGTAGCCAAGTGCCTGAGATCACTACGAGAGCAGAAGTTGATGTCCACCACATCCCAAAGGTTCTAGCCCACAGTCAGGCACATCCACAGGTGTGGGACACTGTTGAGGGTATCAGATGGCAAATGACAAGGCAATTGAGGCAGACTGCTCACCTCACTGCTGAGAAACAAAAGAGAAAAGGGCCAGGGATCACAGTTCCCACCGACAATGACCTAAGAGCCGCCCACAAGGCATCATTGCCTTCTAGTAGTTCCATGCTGAGGACAAAGCCTTTAACTCATGGGCCTTAGGAGGACATTCAGCATCCAGACAAAAGCTCTGATGTTTAGTCATGTGGACTATTTGTGTGGTATGCTGTACCAAAGGACTTTGTCTACATTTACACATATTTACAGTGTTTTTTCTAACTTTGAAGGGTAGTCCAGAAGGAAGTTGCAACAGTATCAATGTATGATTCTAAGACTCCTACTAAAGATAACCCTATACTCATCAATAATTGAATAGCTGAATTCTAAATGACATAATAAAAACATAGCATGAGGAAAACCTACAACAGCCTATAAAACCCTAAAAAGGAAAATTACTGAGAAGAATATTAACAAAAAAGTCTGATATTAATCCATTATTAGAGAAGACCCAGAATCCGTTATTTCCCTCATCTCTGCTGCTACAGTAAACAGTGCCTCATAGACTGAGACTGCACTTTTGTTTCCCAGCTACCAGCACAGGTGTATTCCTAGGTAGCTCTTACATTTTAAATTAACCAATTTCTATTACCTATGTATCACCAAAAGGCTGTGGTTTACCGGTAATGTTCTGACATCTTTCTCCTTCGGCAGGTATCTGCCTGACTCTGCCTTCTTTTTCCCTGCATTCAATTTAGTTTTCCTGCCTACCTATATTCTGCCCTGCATGGTCCAAAGCAGCTTCTTTATTAACTAATGGTAATAAAACATATTCATAGCATACAGAGGAGAATCCTACATCACTGGACCCTCAGCCTGGCATTGAAAACTCTCTGGCTTCTACCACTAGCCTGTGCTGGCTAGTTTTAAGTCAACCTGATATAAACTGGAGTTGTTTGAGAAAAGGAAACCACAACTGAGAAAATGCCACCATAAAACTGGCCTGTGGGCAAGCCTGTCTTGATGAATGATTGATGTGGGAGGGCTCAGCCCACAGGGAGTAGCACCATCACTAGACCAGTGGTCCTGAGTTGTTTAAGAAAGCAGGCTGAGCACACCATGAGGAGCAAGTCAGTAAGCAGGATTCCTCCATGTCCTCTGCTTCAGTTTCTGCCTCCAGGTTTCTTCCTTGAGTTCCTGCCCTGACTTTCTTCAGTGATGAACTGTGATGTGAAAGCAAAATAAACACTTTCCTTCAAGTTGTTTTTGGTCATGGTGTTTCATCACAACCATAACCCTAAGACATAGCCTGTACAGTCAGTCTATAGTAACCAGGTTATTGTTAGTACAGCCTGTACTAACCAGTTTATTCATCTTCCTCCTCCTCCTTTTTTTTCTTTTTTTTTAATCTTGAGGCAGAACCTCATGTACAGCCAGGAATGGGTGACCTTGAAGTCCTGGTTCTTCTGCCTCCACTGCTTGATTGTTAGAATTACAGGCAGGGGCCATGTTCCCAGTTTACGTGGTGCTGGGGATCAAACCCAAAGCTTTGTACCTGACAGGCAAGCAGTAAGCTGTCTTTAGTCCCTAACTTATTACTCTCAATTCCCAATGGTTCACTTCCCCTTTTAAAATATTTTGCCTACATATATGTATTTGGGGGTTGTATGTGTGTGTGTGCATGCACATGCATATGTGTGCGTGCCACAGGACAATTTGCAGGAGTCTGTCCTCTCCTCCCACCACATGGGCTCCAGGGACCTAATCCAGGCTATGGGCGTGGCTTTTTCTTTTTGACTGTCTTCTTTTTGACTTTACGTTTTTCCACCCAGAAAGGCCAGAGTTCCAACATCAAACTGCCCAAAAATAGTGCTCAATGAAAATATGTTTCATAAAGCTAGCTACCAGGTTAGGAATAAATTGAACTTAAGGTATAGCTTGTTCTTGCACACAACCCTGAGTTCAATTTCCTCCACTAAAGAATAAACAATTTCCCTCACAGATTTTTATTATGTGAATAAGAAAATAACATATCTTTGTTTTGTTTTGCTAAGATGGTGTCTCTCTATGTATCCCTGACTGTTCTCCATACACCAGGCTGGCCTGGAATTCATAGAGAACTGCCTGCCTCTGTCTTCTGAGTTCTGGGGTTAGAGGCCTGGACCACTATGCCCGGCTTTATCATATTGTATTTTTTATTTTTCCTGTTCTTCTATTAACAGAAGTAACAACTCCTTGAGGGAATCCTCTGAAGGGAGCAAGTCTAGTGAAACCCTTAGCAGGTGAGAAAGGATTTCCCTGCCGCTAAGATGCAAATGTCCTTTTTGTTCTGTTCACTGGCTGAGAAGACCATGAGCTCTGTAATGTACCATGGGCGTCTGTCCTGTGCCCTTGGAATATATAACACTGAGCAGACAGATTTGGGTCCTGACCCTCCAACTGTGTAAAACTATAATGTGTGTTTATAGAGTATATATAGAAGAGCCTTTATTTAATATTTTCTGATTTCATCCATAAAAATAGAGCTATCTAAACTATCTTTATATCTTAAGAGTAGAAATATGATTTTTATATTCTCAGCTGCTTAAATTAATTTTAGTGTGTTGGCTAGTTTTCTGTCAACTTGACACAAGCTAGAACCATCAGAGAGGAGGGAGCCTCAATTGAAAAAATACCTCCATAAAATCTAGCTGTAGACAAGACTGTGGAACATTTTCTTAATTAGTGATTGATGGGGGAGGTTCAACCCATTGTGGTTGGTACCATTCCAAGGCTTGTAGTCCTGGGTTCTATATGAAGGCAGACTGAGTGAGCCATTACAAGAAATCCAGTAAGCATCACCTACCCTCTGCATGAGCTCCTGGCTCCAGGTTCCTGCCATGCTTGAGTTCCTGTCCTGACTTCTTTGTTGATGAATGGTGATGTAGAAGCATAAGTTAAATAAACCCTGCAGAGGGTCATGGGGTATGCAGCAGGTGACAATTAGTGTTCAGGAGGTCAACCCTCCAGATGTATGATTCCAGCCCCACTTGGCAAAGCCATGGGGTTACCGACTGGAGGCTAGATGACTGGTTGTTCCTGTCCATAACTTTCTCAGGTGCCATTGCTTGCCTCCCTAATAAGAACAACTGTGGGGTTCTTTCCACAGCCTCTTGGTGGTGTGTTTTATCCTTGTTGGGCATACATATAGCTGTGGATGGTCAAGAAGATGATTTCTACTTAATCTTTTAATTTTGATGAATAGAAACAATGCTAGGATATTTTACATTCTCAGACTGGCATAGGTTCTCAGTCACAAAGACAGCCTTTTACACAGACAGCTAATTTTAGACTCTAGAACAGATTCAAAGCAGGCTGGCTGCCCCTGGAGACCAGTAGCTTGTTGTCCCCAGAGACATAGACACAAGGTCATTTTCCCAGGTGTTTTGCTGATACAAGGTCAGGCATGAAACAACTTCAGTGCCGGGTTTTTTTTTTCCTTGTCTAGCAGCTGAGACTTTTTGCACATACTCCCTACCACTCAAGGTTTGGTTCCGTCTGGGAAAGATGTATGTGCATGGCCAAGCGTTGCTCACTGGCCAGTCAATGTGACATTCCTAGCCTAAGAGAATCTACATGACTTATCATTGGTTATGAGATAGGTTGGGCCCTGAGAATGTAACTTAATTGTCCAGAGTTTGCCTGTGCAAGAGAGCGGCAGCAGCAGTGTAGAGAGCAAAGAGAAAGATGTAGAGCTAATTAGGAAAGTTACCTTCAGATCATGTGAACCTGTTATAGATAAGAACTTTTTCCTAAACCATCACTACTCTGAAGTCTTCTTTTTACTACCCTGGAGCAGATATGGGAACTGGCCTCTCAGTCTGCAGTTACACCCTTTCCTCCACAAGTCGTTTTGGTCATGGCATTTCAACACAGCAACAGTGACCCTGAGACGTTAAGAACGGGCTTACTCATTTCTATGTCCTTAGCACTTGAACACAATGTCTATCAAGAAACTATTCAGTAAATACATTTTAGTGAATGATCAAGGCAATGTTGTAAATATTTTTTGTCTCTGCTTCTTTATTTATTTATTTATTTTGTATACACTGTTCTGTCTGTGTGTATGTATGCCTGCAGGCCAGAAGAAGGCACCAGACCCCATTACAGATGGTTGTGAGCCACCATGTGGTTGCTGGGAATTGAACTCAGTACCTTTGGAAGAGCAGGCAGTGCTGTTAACCTCTGAGCCATCTCTCCAGCCTCCTTGTCTCTGCCTCTTGATCACAGTACAAATTGAATCTTTCTAAATGCCTTTCTTTTAAACAGAAAATATGTGTTATTTCCTTTCTTGCCTATATAGTACCACTGTATACCTATGAATAATAATTACATTATAATTCCATCCCTTCTGTTTCCTAGTTGCTTTAGAGTGATCTCATTTTGTCTGACTAATCTATGTGGAGGCTATTATTTTCCTACATTTAGGCTAGAAATGAAGAATTAAATTGTTTAAGCAATTTGCCAAGGTCATTAAGCTTATAAACACTGAAGGCCACATTTGAACTTGAGCCATTGTAACACAATCTCGCTGGGGGCCTCCACTGCTACTACATGTAGCCTATCACCTGCACTACGGGACAGTTCGCGAGCTGGGCAAGTGCCTGAAAATTGACACACACACACACACACACACACACACACACACACACTCACACACATACATACACACGGAAACAGAGACATGGGTCATCCTTGAATTCCCCAAGAATGCCAAGAATGCCAACTTGAATCAAGAACGTCCCCTTTATTGTGTTCCAGGGCAGCTTATATAGTGCCCTCCCTGACCAATGGCCACACCCTAGCTCTCGGGATTTTCAGCTGCAGCCACCAGAAACCACTCCTCTGTCTCGTGCTCAGAGCAGCTGCAAGCACAGGAAAACAAGTTGTTTTGCTCAGAACAGCTGCAAGCGTAGAAAAAACAAGTTGTTTATAGGAAATTCAGGGCCTGGGAGTCCACAGTCCCCAACAAGCCATAATGACTTCAAAGTGTGTGTTTGTGGCCACTACCTTGTATGGCCTCTGGGGACCTTCAGAACTACCTGGAAAGATGCCAGTCACAGACATGGGACATAGTTACTTCCTTGAGGTAACCAAAGCTCCACTGTAAAGTTTCTCTTTGACTAAAAAAATCTGTTTCTTAATAATAAAATTGCAACTTACAGAACATATGAGAAAATGGCTTGTATTTATAATTGTTGTTATAGGAAAATTAATTTTCTTACCAAGATTCTATTAAAATAATTTGTCCTACAGTACTTTAGTGAATGGACAGGGGATATAGCTCAGCTGTCGATAGAGTACTTGCCTAGCATGCATAAAGCCCCTCATAAATCTGCCATGGTGGTACACACCTCTAATCTCAGCACTCAGGAGGTATAGGTAGGAAATTCAGAACTTCAAGGTCATCCTCAGCTACACAGGGAGCTGTAGATGTAGAGGCTAGAGACCCTGTCTCAAAAAGGGAAAAAAATCATTCTTGAATACTGAATACAAAGCTATAATATAACTTTGTTTCCCATTACGGTATTTCATAACCTCTACAGCTGACAGCTATGATTAGGCATCTTGATATTTCAGGCCGTCACACTTACCTGGATTGCTTGCCTTGGTCCCTGTATCTTCGTGCTGTGCCTTAGAAAAGACATGTTTGCGTTGGCATTTAGATTAGATTCTCTACCTGAAAGAAACAGCATAAGGGAGGAAAGTTTTATTTTGCCCTGTGGTGGTTCAGGCTGTGCTGGGCCAGAACTTTATGGCAGGAGGCACATGTGGCAGAGAAAAGTTGTCTATCTCATGCAGAGGGGGAGTCGAGATGGGGAGAATGCTGGAAGGGATCCCAAATACAAGCCTCCAGTGGCTTCCTTCTCGTGACCAGGCTCTGTCTCTTCCTCCTTCCCCAATACTATCCATTTAGAGCCTGCATGGTCTCACCATCTCTGGAAACATCGCAGATGTCCCGCCTCAGCCCTGTGCCTTGATAATCACCTAGGTGTTTGTCAGTCCAGTTAGATTGGCAGAATAAATCTGCACACTGTTCTTGTTTCCAGAGAGCCAGTCACACTGCATGCGGGGGACCTGGAAGATCCGTCTAGTTGCTTCACATTCACGTCTACAGGTGAGTTTTCCATGAAATCTGCAGAGTTTCCTCATGCCAAGAGAATAAAACCAGAAGTGTTTGAGCCCCATGAACTCTGCTCTCACTTCCTACAACCCCCCACTCCACCCCCTCCCCATTTTGGTCACTCTGTTTTACCCCCCTGGAGCTGTTAGTTGAACCTGCAATGCTGTCTCCTTGTTGGGGCTTTTACATCTTCAGTGCCACAAACATTGCTGACCACCTCGTCCTCTTTCACAGGTTTCCCAGAAACCTTAACTCCCATCACTTACTCAAAAACTCACAACCTTCCCACACTTTCCAGCTCCCCTTGCCTTTTCCACTTGTATTACACAGCATCCTCTTACATGACTTACTACTTCGTGTTGTTACTGTATGCCATACCACAGCCTGGGGTATGAAAACAAGCCTCTGAAAGGAAGAACCTGGAGAGACAGAAAAAAAATCTCAATACTCTAAACGTTACAATACTCAGACTCAGAATGGGGAAGGGAAATAAAAATGTTAAAACAGAGCCAAAGAACAAATTACAGAAGTCACACGTAACCAGGAAGAAAAACTGTAGAGTATGTTAGTTTTAGAAAGCAAAAGCAAGTGAGATAACGATTTACAGAAGAGAAAGTAATTGGGAAAGAATGAAAATGACAGTTATTTAATAAAAGCATAGTTATAAATCTGGCCAGTCCTAACGTAAATAGGGAAAAGTAAAGTATAATGTAAAAACTTCATTTATAGAAGAATGTTGTTATAATTAAAATCAAGACAATATATGTGTGTATATGACTTTTGTGTGCGTATGTGTGTGTGTCTGGAGAGTGAGGTCAACCTTGATTGTCATTCCCCAGGATGCCAGCCATCTTGGTTATGAGACTTAGCTTTTCACTGGTCTGGAATTCACAAATCAGGCTAGGCTGGCCACCCAGGGATCCTGCTTCCTCTGCACCACCAGTGCTGAAATTTCAGTCTCATGCTACCACTTTTTTCAAACCCAGAGACTCTTGTTTGCACAAGCATTTTGCCAACTGACCTATTTCTTTAGCCCTTTGTCACTGCTATCATAATGATTAGCCAGGCCACGAGAGCAATGCTCTTGCCTTTTTAGATTGCTCTAAATTAGAACATTTGCCTTTTCTCACATATTCTGAATACCTTAGAATACTTTAATCCCATTTGGTATCCTTTTAACTTTCATACAATTTTGTTAACATAGATTAATTATAAATATAAACACAGTTGATTATGTTTTAGTTAGCTTTCTGTTCCTGTGATAAAACATGGTTACCAAAAGCAACTTGGGGAAGAAAGAGTTTGTTTGGCTCACAACTCCACAGCACAGTCCATCATCAAAGGAAGTCAGGGCAGGAGCTGAAGCAGAGACCCTGAAGGGGTGCTGCTTACTGGCGGTTTCCTCATGGCTTGCCCAGCCTGCTCTCTTACACAATTCAGGACCACCTGCCCAGGGCTGACATCACCCAGTGAGCTGGGGCTTCCCACTTCAATCAGGGGAATGCACTCTAGGCTTGCTCACAGGTCAGTCTGATGGAGGCATTTCTCAACTCTGGTTCCGTCCTTTCAGATGACTCTAGCTTGGGTCAAGCTGACAAAAATCAAACAGGACAGGGTTTATTTGTTTGCTTTTGTTTTCTTATTTTGAGACATGTAGCCCTGGCTGCCCTAGACCTCACTCTGTAGACCAGGCTGGCCTCGAACTCACAGATCCTCTTGTCTTTGCCTCTCAAGTGCCCGGATTCAAGGTGTTTATCATCACCACCTGGCTTTTCACCACACTTTTAGTGTGGATAATTTACCCCACTTAGGCTTAGAGTCTCTGTTATGTCTACTAAGAAGTCAGCTGTACATTTAATTGATGCCCATTTAAATGTAACATGCTTTTCCCTTCTTGTCTGGTAGCTGTAATTTTTTTCCTTTTGTTTGTTTGCTTGTTTTAGCAGTTCTTATTCATGTGTCCATTTTTTCCACAAGTAGAACACACTTGGTGTTTGAAGTCATATGGTTTGGATCTATGGAAGTCCCTGCCTGAGAGCTCCATTGTCTAGTCTCCCTGATTACTGTTAATCTATTATTTGCATTTCTCTTGGTTTTCTACCATGCCATCATTTCTCCTTACATACCCCGTTAGTTTTTATTATATGACACTTCGTGGGAGATTGTACATCATGGGTGAGACTCACATTGAGGTTACCTTCTTCTAGACAGAATTTGTTGCGATTTTTTTTTTTTTTTTTAGACAACTGAGGATGTTGACAATCCCAGGCTAGTATTATCAGATCAGCAGTGGATCTGATTTGAATCAGGAACTCTGGATCTCAAGGTCCTACACATTCTCATTCCTAGAGCCAGGGTTCTCTGGAGGAACAAAACCATAAGGTGTTTACATAATTGTGATTAACTTCCATGATTAGAGGCTGTGTAGTCCTGCAAAGGCCCTCCGCAAGCTCATAGCGGTCGGGGCGGGGGGGGGGGGTATACTGTTGTTTAGCCTAAGTATCTTGACACTACAAGAGGGAGCAAAGGTTCCACCCCAGTGCAAGGCCGAGGCCTGGAGGCTTGCTGGAGAGTCAGGGTCAAGATGCTAGATGCTGATGTCTCCAGGGAATGGCAGTATCAAAACCAAACCCACTCACAGCTGTGCAAAGTTCTGTTTTCCTCCCATCCCTGTCATTGAAGCTTTTGCTTGTGAAAGGTTTGGCTTTTTCTTTTTTATAAGTATACTACTCTATTTTTAGCTAATTCTATCTTTTACCCTTGTCATTATACAATCTTAGCAAGTCCATCTGTGAAGGTTTCAGGCTCTCGTTCATTCAATTCTTCTCCTAAGAAGTCTCCAGTGCACTCCCTCCTAACTAGTTCTGCTGAGGAGTCAGTAGGCTCAGCGTCCCAGTACCGCTCCACCAAGCCTATCCACTCACCTGACTCTACTAAAGGTAAGAATGACCTGATATTGCTGATGCGATCGATTGGTTCTTACACAGGGAACTGCAAGACTCTGCATGTTCCTCTCATATGCAGCCTGCAGTTGGTGCTCTAAGCATGTGGCTTCAAATTAGACAGTGACTGTTATGCACACTCACGCATTAGGATAACGGAAGCTTAGATACTGTATATAAATGCCTTTCTACTCTTGTCTGGCACAAACAGTGAACTTGTTTTCTATTTTTTTTCTTTAGAGTGCTCTGTGTCTAAGTGCTAAGACTTCTCCACTCTTGCTTAGTTTAAAACATGACTCTGCTTTAGTCAACACCTTTTTAAGTGTAGATGTCTGTTATACAATCTTGTACAAAATCTCAACAAAATTTTTAAGTTCAATTTTTGTTTTAAAAAATAAATGAAAAAAATTATTTGTAGTCAATGCCTTAGAATATTGAATTACACATAAATGTGTTGAATTAGACTTGAAATGTTTCTCATTCTATACTGCAGTAACCAAAACCAACCCAGCACTCTGTGGAATCAATCTCGTTGATAGGCATAAGCCACACAAGGTGTAAAACATTTCAACATCTCTTAGTCTTTTGGTATTCTATGCCATACATATTTCTAGATTCTAAAAGAAAGTATGAACTCAGAACCTGATCACATTTAAGTGCACTTTGTTTACCACTGTGAGCATTGCACCCCATCTTCCATGTCCAAGCTCTTTGTGTTGTCTCGTCATTCAGAAGACTCAGAAAGGAAGTCTCCCAAGTCCAGGCTCGGGTCTACAGAGTGAATCCCGAGCCGTCCATGGCTACATAGTGATGTCCTGCCTCAAAGAAGGCAAACAAACCACAAGCAAGTGCAAAGAACCAACTTACTAACCCGTTTAGAGTGACCACTAGAGGGGGGGGCGGTATCTGTGACATCACACAGTGATAGGACATCTTCTTCCCCGTTTCATACCCTCATCAAGAACATCATGTTATTATTTCTGTCCAAATATTGCTAAGATCTTGTTTCTCATCCTTTTAAATTGAAAGCCTTTTAAATGATTATGTTTAATACTATAATTTCAACAAAAAGGATATTGGTAATAAAAAACTAAGTCAGCAAAAATGTTTTTAAAATTATTCATCTAGTCAGGGGCTAAGATCAAAATTCAACCCTTCTATTTGTTAGCTAAGTATTTTCAAAAATTGACAGAACCCTCCCACTTCCTAAAGTCAGCTTTCATGCCTCTGGGCCCTCATCAGTCACTGCTGCCACATTGTAGGTTACCGTACCACGCCAGAATTCATACAGCCCTTTTCCAACACATAGACCATCCACATGCAGGTAAAGTCGGAGACCGTTGTTCATTTCCTGGCTGTCCAGACCCAAAATAATCACACAGAAACTATATTAATTACACCACTGTTTGACATATAGCTTCTTATTAAGTAACTCTAACATCTTAAATTAACCCATTTCTATTCATCTGTATATCACCATGTGGCTGTGGGTTACCAGTAAGGTTTCATTCAACATCTGTCTCCTTCGGCGGCTACATGGTGTCTTTCTGACTCTGTCTTCTTTTCTCATCTACCTCTGTTTGGATTTTCCACCTTGCTCTATTCTTCCCTGCCATAGGCCCAAAGCAGCTTCTTTATTAACCAATGGTAATAAAACATATTCATAGCATACAGAGGGGAATCCCATATCACCTCCCCTTTGCTGCCTAAATGAAAGGAAGCTTTTAACTTTAACATAGTAAAATTACATATAACAAAACAGATATCAAGCAAGAATTACAGTTACAATGTTTATATCTACTTTAACTTTTATCATAACTAAGGAAAACTATAACTATCTATTCTTCAATTCCATTAAAGGATATAATTTTACTAAGTTAACAGGAAGTGCACTGTAAGCAATTTCCAAAACTCTGGAATTGACAGAGACATCTTGATGCCTGGACAGTCACCCAGAGTTCTTCTGTATCACTCTGTATCAAAAGCAGAACCTCTCTTTTAAAGCAACATATTCTTAGACCCAAATTTTGTAGTCAAGATACTTTTAAAATATATATGTTGGTTTAGTTTAGCAGCCTGTACAATGAAATGTCTCTCTGTAGTTACTTAGCTCATTTACAGTGAAATATTTCAAAGAAAACATAATAATATACATAATCCAGACTCTCTGTGTCTATTTTATCTTTACGCAGCTTTTTTTACTCTATTTTTTTACAAGTTTAATATTTATTTTATTATCTTTACTCCTTTAATCTATGACTGTCTGTACTCTTTTAGATTATAACTGTCAATACTCTTTTTTTCTTCTTCCTGCTAAGCCTATGCACATTATTTAACACTGTGACCCTTTTAGAGGTCTTTTTTATTTGACTCTGTCATTATTGTATGTTTGTAATTATTTCTTGACCAGGAGCGCTTTTTTTTTCGATGTTAAGTAGATGTGGCTAGGACCAACTTCATGGCCCTGTCTGTTGGCTCTGAGAGTCATGCACATCACCCCAGCTCCAGGGTCACAGCGGGTCTATGTCACCACTAAGCAATTTGTAACATTCTGCTAACAGGCCCTATTTAAGTGTGTGGCCTCCTGAAAGAGTCAGAGCTGTTCATGCAAATAACATGAACCAGAAAGTCCTCCCCTATAGAAACCACTCAGCCTTTGTTGCCAATGCCAAGTCAGAAAGACTTCTCTTAAAGGAGCCACAGCACCCCTGTTCACCACTAACAAACAGAGCCCATAAAAAAAAAGGCTACCAGGAAGCTGTGCTAAACTCTGTTCTTTTGTGTCTAGAATTCCTTTTCAAGCTCTCTCAGGTTTTATGTGGACATAGTTGCCCCATGTTGGACGTCATTTTGTATGCAGAGACCACTTGTTCATTTCCCCGCTTCCCAGACCCAAAATAATCACATGGAAACTATATTAATTACAACACTGGTTGGCCTATAGCTTCTGCTTCTTATTAAGTAACTCTTACATCTTAAATTAACTCATTTCTATTAATCTGCATATCACCATGTGGCCTATCGGTAAGGTTTCATCTAGTGTCTGTCCCTTGGGTGGCTACATGGCAACTCTCTGACTCCGCCTTCTTTTCTCCTCTGCCTCTGCTTAGAATTCCCACCTTGCTCTATTCTGTGCTACCATAGGCCCAAAGAAGCTTTTTTATTAACCAATGATAATAAAACATATTCACAGCATATAGAGGGGAATCTCATATCACCCAGGTTAAAGTCTGACACTGAAAAGTGAGCTAGTATCTGAATTAGAGCCTGTTCCTCAAACCCCAGTTGGGAAATACTCAGGTTTGGTGTGAAAACTGACACAAATGTGTCACTAATTTGAAGTATTCTTGTCAAGAGACCTGCTTAATACTATACAGTTAAATAATAATCAATCAAATTGATTAACAAAACCAAATAAGCTAGTGTTACTGTGTTTAAATGGGATTTTTTTTATTTTAGAATAATGTTTTTAAATTTTCTTAGGAAAAATTGTTTAATATATAATTTGATGACTTCTAAAAGAAATATCGAATAGACTTTTAATATCACATCTAAGTAATTTTCTAATAGATTCACAGTCTCCGTCACTAGAAACAACAGGAAAAACATGCCAAAAACTGCAGAACAGACTGGAAAGTTTGCAAACCTTGGTAGAAGATTTACAGCTGAAGAACCAAGGTGAGGTCTCCAGGCCTGGGGGCTTAGCTCAGTGATGGAGCCCTTGCCTAGCTAACAAAAGCCCTGGTTTCAGTCCTCAGAGCTGGGGTGAAAACTCATAAAATATATGTGCACACATACAACATGCTTGCAATGCAATAAATATTTTTCTAACAAGTATTTATACAATAAATTTAAGCATGTTAATAATACTAGTCTCTGCTGGCACCTGTGAGAGGTGCCTTCACATCTGTGCAGGAGGGTGGGAGCTGTTGTTAATGAGAGCACAAGACAGCACAGTCCTGGGTCTCAGTGAACACTGGAGCTGGGACTTGATCCCTGTAATTCCTGATGCTAAAGTCCACTTCTTTCTAACTCTAATGTGATGAGGTCACATCACATTGCTGTTGAATAAAATCCCAAGTGAATTGTGTTAACCCCAGGTCCCCCTAAACAGTAAGAAAACATTTGTTTTTAGGTTATTGAGTCTTTTAAAAGCTTAGTCCAAGAATCCCAGACAGTTTATCATGATCACTTTCCTTCCCTACCAGACCCACCCCC